GCTAGGTTTAGGCTATTCAACAAGGAATACTCATTAAGCCAAGATACAATAGGAGATATGTTACATTTTCCGCGTGTGGAGAATGTGGCTTGTAAAGTTCCTTTTGAGGCGGATTGATAAACCGTTGCGTTTGATTTTTAGGAAAAGTTAGAAGTGAAACAAATCTAAACTGGGAAGGCCTTAATGCCTCTCTAATCCATAACCCAGCCATCTGCTTCTTTTACCGCATTCTGGCAAGCACACTTTTCTCTAGGACTAACAAGCATAAGGTAAATTTTAAAGAGTTGTTCTTTTTGCATTGCATCTTTACACCGATCATAATCAATGCCACTCCCTTTTAACTGGCTCACATTCATTAAATTTGTGCAAGAGGAACCAACACTTTCTTTATAGGGGCGATATTCACATCCATTTCCCTTGCCTTGGGCCTAGGCGACAAACTCACAGATTTTCCATCAATACCAGCCTTGTACCTTAACATCAACAACTATCGATTTTATCACTTGACTAAAGCTCAAGAGGATGGTAAATATTATTTGATGGTCATTAATAAAGCGGTTAAGAGTGTCTTCTTCCCTGTCTCAATCGAACTAATCAATAAAATATGGCTAACTAGCTTTATGATTTATATGCCCCTTAGCCTAATGCGCTTGCACAAGGTGCAAAAGGCTACCAAACAAATGATGAGTTCGATGAGATGGAGCAGGGTGCCCCTTAAGCTCACCCGCAACCCACACAGGTTCCTTCTGAACGCGTCGCTGGAACATCATCAACACACCGAAGAAGACACGAGGACATTTCTGGCCCATCTGATGACATTCTTTTTGAAATAAGATGGTGTAATGATATGGATACTCAGCTCGACCAAAGAATTTAGGATATTCATACTCAGCAGACTGAGATGATGCGCCTCATCTAGCAGATTCATTAGGATCAGCGTGACTGCAATAACAAGAATGACCAAAGAATGTCATACATGATCGACTAGATAACAACTTTAATAGTGCGTGCAGACAGCTTACAGGAGTATATTCATCATGTAGGTATGCCACCTCATGAGCTTGGAATTGGTGGTCATTGACGAGCGCGTGGCAGAGGTCACCAGTAGCAGATGCCCTAAGTTCTACATTTCTTTTTCACCTTATTTTGAAAAATTGGTGACAATGTTTAATTTAATTATGGGGGAGAAAGCTTTACTTCTTTTGTTTATCGTTTTTGTTTCTCATTTTCTAGGTAGTTATATTTTTCCCCTTTTTCTCATTTATTGTTAGTGTTAGTCGAGTCGAATTCTTGTGATGTCGAGTCTCTATGCGTGTTTTTCTCCTATTTGTTGATTCCCCCAATTTTCTTGTACCATAACAAAATTTTCTGGTTTGACCTATAAAATGAAACCTTAAAAAGTAAATAGGTTGTTTTATACTTAGGCTATGTTGGATTGATTTGAGAAAGACTCACCAAAATAGATATCGTTTTGACACCCTAAATCCCTAGCTATTTACGATCAATTTGAATACCTATTATACCGAGACCTTATGTTTGAATTTTTTAGTAGCCCCGAGTAGTTTATACTTGCAGTCAGCACCATCTTAAGCATAAACTACATAAGAAGTTGATGAATATAAGTGGACGATACCAAAATTTCTAAGTATATATGCCAATACTTAATATAAATAGGAAATGCACCTATTAAGTTAGGTGACCCTCGCTCAGTCACTTAACCCAATGGTTGTGGAACCTACAAAATTTTTCATAAAAATCCGTTGTTAGTTGGTTCAGAGGTGTCTGGTGCTGAACTTGGTAGGGAAGACTACGTTTCGATCCCCCATAACTTACAATTGGTTAAATAAAGGGTTTACCAAATTCATGTACCAGACCCCCATTGCTAAAGGATCAGAGTCACTAACCAACTACTCTACTATGTGCATTTAAGGATAAAGGGCTTAATGTGATTGTGCTCAAATGAAAGTGGGTAAAATAAAACGAAAGAAATAGGTTGATCTATAATAGAATGATTCAAATTGGTTTGAATTAAAGAGGTATTTTTTTATTGTATTTGCGGTTTTGTGTCACTACGGTATCCTTAGTGTTGAATTCGAGTACCTATCATTCTAACAAAATGTCTCACAACCACATACGATTTAATTTATGTCGTGTATTTCTGTCTAACCCACTTTTTTAATTGAATTTCATAATGATTATTTTCTTGAGGACAAGAAAAGGTTCAAGTGTAGGGGAGTTGGATAAACTGAAATTTCATCGTATTTTCAACTTGACTAGCAAGGATTATTTTACCATTTTTATCCATTTATGTCATTTTATACTGGTAGTGTTTATGTATTTCAGGTGTTTTTCCTCCTTGAGGCTTGCATGAGAAAAGAAGAGGATTTGGCATAGAAAGAGTAAGAAAACATGAAGGAACAGAAGAAAAGATGGAAATCTGCACACAGAAGTCTATGGCCCTCGCCACACATGATTAGTCTGTGGCCCTCACCACACTTCCAATTGCCACTGCCACAGGTTGTTTTATATCAGGACCATTTTCCTTCCACGTCATAGCCATGATTCCCTCATTCTTCTTATTTCCTCTCTGCAAGACCAGGGTGGCGAGATTATCTCCACGAAGGAAGTTGTTCCTGATATTTCGGGAGCGAGTTACGTAAATACATCAAGATATAAAAAGAAGAAGAATTGATAGTTACAGGGTCAAAGAATTTTCCATTGTTCAGAGCATTTTCCTTTATAGTTTCTAAGCAGGAAAAATCACCACTTTAAAGTAATAGCATTCCATATCATGGAGCTATTGCAACTTTAGTTTAGATTTATAGTTTTAGTTTCTCTTCAATTGTTTACTTTCGGAAACGAATCCTGCCGAAAATTGTGGAGGATCATGAAGAATAATTTTTAAGTTGCAGTAAACTCTTTGTACTAGAGATTTATTCCTAGGTTAGAAATCATGTTCTATTTTATGATAAATTATTGTAATAGCATGTCTATGTTATAAACTATGTCCGACTAGTTCCATGAGATACCAGTATGTAACATAATCTAACCGAAGGGAATAGAAAACCTTTCGGTATTAATATTTATAAAATTCTTTCCTGGTATTTGTTTCTAATTTAATTAATAAAAAACAACAAAGGTTAAAATCAATACAACGAGAGTTTGAGGTTTCGAATCAGATATTAGTAACTGAACATTGATTCTAAATACAACGAGAGCGCTTTATAATCCTCTGACACACAAACATCCAATACTTAAAAGCTCATGGATTCTTGACATAACTTACAACCCAAAACAGCCATACTCTTCTATCAATATGATATTAGAGAGGCTCACAAATAATGAATCTAAAACTCTAACAAAATCACACGTAAGTTAAACCTAAATTAGGTATACACAACTCTATATATAACATTACTCTAGACTGGGTTGGGCTTCAAAATCTCTGCAGTGAGGCTGCACAAAGTCTACAAAATCTTCTCCAAGAAAATAGATCTTCAATAATTTGTTTCCTAAAATGTCTCCATATTTAGAAATATTTTATATCTTCAAAAACCAACATAGAATCTCTGATTAGTCAATCTTGAATGTCACATAAGATAACTAAATATTCCGTGAATATTCAGTAACTAACATATAAGCTAAAACATAACTATCAACTCTTGCCGACACAATGTCCTATCCTCCTGGTTGGGACATCCTATTCGACATGTTGAAAACTTTATGTTGGAACATCTTGTTCAACACGTTGCTGCCAAGTTGGTTTTACCAAAATGTATGTCAATCATAATTTCATAGAAATAACAAATATTACTTCTGAAATTTTTAAGAAAAAGTGGGTATTTTTAAGAGTAACAATAGGATAAATCCTAGGAATATGTGGAGTCAATAAAGCATGGATTGGATCAGTGTTTCTAGTGGGAAGCCTGAAAAATATTGAAGTAGATTAGTAAAGATGGCTTGTTATTGAGTTGCAGCATATCTCTGGAGTTGGTTCTTCTAGTTTTTATCTTTAACATTCCGCAACCCCTTTTGATGCCACGTTTTCTGAAGATGCTGGTCAGTAGCATTTATATGTTTTTGTTCATGTGTTAGGTTTTTTCCTTGTCGATGGTCTATATGTATGATTTTCATAATATCATGTTTCATTTAAACTACTAAAAAGATATATGTTTCTCTATTTTTAATTATTTATTCATTTCTCATATATTCTGATTGGAATATTTTACACCTACACTGTATGTTATCTTTATATGTTTGATTCGGTATATTTCAATTGTTTGAGGGTGATTCTCATTATATACTCTTGCATAGTGACAGAAAAAGATACAATGTGTGACTAGATGGAGTATTAATATTAGTGACTATATTAAATAATTACATGACACCACTTTAACTCTGAGTAAGTATAAAAATAATATGACATCCGCTTAGTTTTTCAATAATCTTTTTGTCTAAGCAAAACTATAATTTTCATGTCATTTTCACATAACAAGTTGAGTTTTATTTTAACTCAACTATTTATTACACAAAACCAATACCTTAATTAATGCACAAATAAAAACAAGAGCTTTATCAGTAAACAACAACAATAATCAAGTTTTTCCACAAGAAAATCCTTATTTAATACTCAAATATGAGCTTAATTAGTACACAATAATAACCAAGCATTTTCCCCTAAGTTGGAACATAATTAGAACACAAACATGACCTAACTTAGTACACATAAATTAAGACATTACAGTACACAGACACCGATTAATATATATGAACTAGTTTTGTTTTAACCATCCATCAAGGTAAATTTGGTTGGAGTCAAGGTTTGATTTTGCGTTTTTGGTTCGGGTATCTTTCAACCATCCATCAAGGTAAACTTGGTTGGAGTTATGTTTTGCATTTTCAGTTCGGGTATCTTTCAACCATCCATCAAGATAAACTTGGTTGGAGTTAGGGTTGACATTTACATTTTTGGTTCGGGTATCTTTCAACCATCCATCAAGGTAAACTTGGTTGGAGTCAGGAGTAGATTTTTGTTTCTCAGCTCGGATATCTTTCAGCCAACCGTCAAGGTAAACTTGGTTAGATTCAGAGGTAGATTTATCTTTTTCAGCTCGGATATCTTTCAACCATCCATCAAGGTAAACTTGGTTGGAGTCAGGGTTAGATTTTGCTTTCTCGGTATGAGTGTCTCTCAACCATCCATCGAGATAGACTTGGTTGGAGGTAGAGGTGGACTTAGCTTTCTCACCTCGAGTATCTTTCAACCATCCATCAAGGTAAACCTGGTTAGAGTCAGGGTTGACTTTGGATTTCTCAGTTCTGATATCCTTCAACCATCCATCAAGGTAAACTTGGTTGGAGTCAGGGTTGGCTTTGGCATTCTCGGCCCTGGTATCTTTCAACCATCCATCTAGGTAAACTTGGTTGGAGTCATGGTTGGCTTTGGCTTTCTCGACTCTGGTATCTTTCAACCATCCATCAAGGTAAACTTGGTTAGAGTTAGGGTTGACTTTTGTTTTCTCGCCTTTGGTATCTTTCAACCATCCATCAAGGTAAACTTGATTGGAGTTAGGGGAGAGTTTTTGGTTCTTTAGTGGAGTGTTTTTGAGCCAACCATCAAGGTAAGGTTGGTCAACCTGGTTCATATATCTTGCAAAGCTTCCATGGCCATTCTACAATACAATTGAATAAATGGATATTAATGAGTGACAAATTAATTACATGTTTTTGATGGTATATATGGTTAGAAAAACACTAGTGTGTTATGAGACACATTTTGTTGTATAATGGAAGATATATTCGTTATGTATATATAGCAGATAGATACATAATTTGAAGCATAAAAATAGCACGTAGAATATTTTTAATTTAATTACAACAAAACAATGTAATTTTTTAAATCGTATAGAACAACTTGATTCTTAGTATGTTGAATGCATGAAAAACAACTAATGAACAAACTAATTGAAGCATGCATTAAATTATACATGCTTGTACAATTTCAAATAAAGATGAAAATGATATATTACGAAGATGTTGAATATTTTTAATCTTTTAACATGCATGCACAATTGCAAATAAAGATGAAATAAATTATTATTATGATAAATAAATGATGAAAAATAAAAGTATAAAAGATAGAAGCATGCATGGAAAGTTAGTAACTCACAATCAACAATAGCAGGAGAAAAGGAATGAGAGACAAAATAACTCTACGTGCCATTTATTTTTGTTATGTTATTTTGCTGTGAAATATGCATTCGAATGGAAGTGAGCTGACTTATTTATAGGCAAGTAAAAAAGATAAGTAGTACAAATAACTAGGACATTAGTACTTTGTTTATAAAAATAATTTTTTAAGTTTATAGTGCATTTCTTATGAATATGACTTATGTTTTAGTCATTTTCATGAGTTGTATGAATCTAAAATTTACAACACAAACAATAATGAGTATGAATCTAGGCAATAAGACAAAATAGTCTCACAAGAAACTCTTGAAAATAGTGTGTGGAGTTTGCCTGCTTTAAGAAGTTAATGTGACAACTTAAGCTGACACAATCAATCACTTGTAAGGCTTTGCATTAAATAATTGTAGTTGTCTTTTTAAGAGTCAAAAGAGAAGATGTTGGAATCCAAAGCAACATTTTTTAATTTAATTTTAAATCGTCAAATTTTATTATACATAAATATTTATAACACAAAAGTTTGAAGTAGTCCTAATAAAAATATGTAGATGAAACATATATTACTAACAAACTCTATAATGGCATAGAGATTGAAACAAAAAGGTGTGCTAATAAAAGTAAATGGATGAAACATATTACTAAAAAATTCAAAGAAACACCCAAATATTTTATAATTTATAATTTTAATACAGAAAACATTTTTCATAATTATTTTATAATGGAGATTAAAATATAATCATTAATTGAAGAAAATAAAGCAAAATTCTCTTCAAATAGTTTTTGGTAATAATAAAAAAATATGTCTTTTGTTTATTCTGAGTTATAAAATAAAATTTAATTTGGATTATAAAATTTAAAGTCAATAATTTATTTAAGTTAATAGTTTTTGGATTCTTCAATCTGAAATAATTTGAAGTCTATATTTTTAATAAAGAGAACAATTTTCATAATTATTTTTATAATGGAGATTAAAATATAATCATTAACTGAAGAAAATATAGTAAAATTCTCTTCAAATAGTTTTTGGTAATATCACCATATATTTTTAACCAGGAAATCAATTATAATAAGTAATTTATTTATATTTTTTTCATATAATTTTTTTACATGATTTTCAACCTTCACAAACTTATTTCAATCCAAAAACAACCAAACCATACCTGGATAGTTTCATGTGTAGCAGAAATTGTTCCCTCTAAACTTCATCATTTCACACGCTTGAGCATTCCATTTGATTCTCTATAAATAGAGGATCATCCCTCATTCATTTTCTCAAGCTTAGAGAGCCAGAATCACCCTGCCAAACTTCATTTTGAATTTAATTTTCTGCAACTTCGAATTTCCTCTTACAACCTTTCTCAATCATTTTTCTTTGTCAATTCACCTTCCTTCATCCTCACTGAAGTTAAAAGAAGAAGAATTAAGCTCTAAAACTCACTGAATCGTGCTAGCCAAGTCCAGTTTCAGAGCTCTGCAACTTAACTTCAATAGGTAGATTCCTTCACCAATTCTCTCAAACTTTTATACTATTGTGAAGCTCTCATCATCCTGGTTCTAGTTGCAACAGTTGTTTTTAACTAGAAGCACGTTTTGACCATGAAATTTCAAATACCTTTTCAAAACATCTTTTCCAAATTGCTTGAGCTACAGTTTATATAAATTTTTTGCGAAGGTGTAGTTGTCTTCGTCTTGATGAGATGAAGCGAATAGTACCGGTCTCGAGCTCTAATTTTACAGTTTGAGTGACCTGGTTTTGAGACTGGCTGGAGGTTGAAGATGACCAACATGTCATCCTTCAACCAATGAAACAACGCCATTTGGATTATTTGAATTTCAGATTTTATAATTGATTCAGTGCTTTATTCAGTAATGACCATGATATGCACATTGCGCCACATCTCTTGGATTTGATTACTAACGCGTTTTGATTCTCATCTAATGGTCCACATATTTTTGACTTTAATTTTTATTTCTGATTTTTATATTTAATTGTTTTAAATTTAAAAAATTCATAGAAAATTCATTTAAACACCAAAAAATCTGAAATAAATTATGGAAAATATTTTTGATTTTTCTCTTTCTGATTTTTATTTTTTCATAATTTTATTTTGTGTTTTGATAATTTTTATACTTTTTCACTTTATTTGAATAGTTTTAAATGTTTTAAAATACATTTATTCATTTTTAAATTCTAAAAAAAAAATAGGGAAGGATACAATGATATTTTGATAAATATTGGTGACCTCATTTATTTTTTATTTCCGACTTTACTGTTATTCTTTATTTTTGGTTTATTTTGTCTATTTCTTTTAATTTTAAAAATAGTTTTTACTTTAAAAAATTACCAAAAATTTCATAAAAATATTTGAGTTCATTTCTGATTTGTCTATGGTCTTATTTAATTTTTCTGGATTAATTTGAACATAGTTTCTATTCTTATCTCTTATTTTCATTTTTAATCATTTTAAAAAACCCTTTTCTTTTATTTTAAATACAATTTTATTTCTATATATATTCTGGCTGATCTTGGATTGAAATTTTGATCATGAATTTTATTAACATCATTGAATCCATGGTGTTGAGTTTAACTCTATAAAAATGGATGAATGATTTTAATAATAGTTTGATTAAATATTTGATTCAAATGTGGTTTATTCATTTCCTCTTCCCTCTTCATCTTATCACATTCTTATTGTACTAAATGTTGTTGGAGCATGATTTACATATCATGTCTCAAAAGATGAGGTGCATAGATTTCTATTGACCGACCGCAAAATAGGTGCAGCTTCTATATAATTCCACGTACGGTTGCTTAACATAGCGCTAAATTTGGTCCCGATTTAAGAAAATGATCAATCGTGTCAAAAACCTATGGTTGCAAGCCCAAGTATGTTAATTTGAACCCTTTGATCCAATAACCTTGAGATCCATTATTATGAGGCTTTGGTTCTACCAATCCTCTAATGGAACTTCATCAATTTTGGTTAAACTGGATCACTTAAACATTATTGATCATTAAGTGTTATTTTGAGAATTCTTAAATGGATGATATACTTGACAAAAAGAAAATGCAACTTGTTGTTGAGAGGCTTTAGTTCTACCAATCCTCTAATGATTTCTAAATGCAAGTTTCAAGATGGTCATCAAACTAACCACTAATTCCTAACAATTGACTTTATTTTCATGCTTTTATTTTATGCTTTTACTTTATGTACCATTTACTTTAGCATTTACATTTCATGCTTTTTTCATCTTTTTCCACTTGAGCTTTTCATTTCCTTTTGAAGATACCTAATAATCAACTTAAACCCTAAAAAACTTTAATGTTATTTGGACTAATTGGTTACTATCTTTGGCATTTTTGAGTTATGGACTTCTTGGACTTAGGATTAGAAGCTGTGGCCTACCTTGAGACCTTGTGACCTTGATTGTTATTTTGTCTGGAGTTTTTTGGGGTTTACACCAAGACATTGGGGTGTTTTTTTTGTTTTGTGTGCATGTTATTATGGTTACATGCTTTTTCTGTAATCTGAAATTCATCTGTGTACAACTATTACTCAGCCCAATTTTTTCTATGAAGACTTAATGAAAATTGAAGCTTGGTATTATTAAGAGGTTTATTAATTGTTTGCTTGGTTTCAAATCCAAAGGGTGGAATTCTGCATTGACTCATTATGTCAAGTGTTGGCTTCTTGTGTGGTTAAATGGTCTTTCTCCTTAGCTTTTACCTTATGCTTTAGGATAGTCTCTTCATCTCCTCCCATCTTCTTTAATTTCAAAAATATTCTCCCTCCTTTTGAAAAATCTTCTTGTTTTTTTTTTAAACTTGAACACTTTCATAATAAACTTGGACTTATGTCCATGTATTTTCAAAAATTATTTCTTAATCAAATTTCAATCAACTTAACAATACCTTGACATTTTTTGTGAGAAGACTAAAAGTCAATGAATCTCATTCAAACTATTTTGCCATTTTGGCTTTTATCTTTAAAAACTTTTCTCAAGAAAATTAGACTCTTGCCAATCCTTGTAGTGATGCAAACAACTCTACTTCTACAATATGTAGTGAAGTGAGATATTTTCCACTTGGGTGTTGAGTGAGGCATTGTTAATTTTAAAATCCAAGCCATATCCTCCACTTTGAGATGACGCAAATTCTCCTTTCTCATAATTGTGGGTAGTAAGTATGTTGTCCACACGGACAATGACAATAACGTCTTGTCTCCAAAAATTAACCAACACATTTGTGTTTTATTTTTTTAAAGAGGAACTACGAGTACCCTGATCCCCTATTGCATGGAAGGTGGTACGTAGACACTAAAGGTTCACAACCGCGGCGGGTGGAAAAATTATAAAAAAATACTTCTTTTCTTATCACCACAATCT